TTAGCTAGAGGACCCACACACCACCCTTTTTCTATTATTTTGATATAAAATCTGTATATATATATAAATATATATTACATTATTATTTTTATTGTTGTTATTTTTAATTGTTGTTGTTGATATGTTCACTTAATTGTGAGAAATAAATCTTTTTTTGTTAAAACTTGTTTGGACTTATTGTACAAACCTATTTAACATCCACTATTTTAACATAATATTATGGATAGAGTTTAATTCAGTGTTTGCAATATTTTTAAATTAATGTCTATATTGCAGTTTTTTACAAGTCCGTCTGGCTGCAGTCTGCAGGAAGCCAAGGATGGATATCCAACTCCGCCCACATCCAAGTCGGCCATTTTGATTACGTCACCAGTAGGGAAGTTTTAAATACAGCATAAAAAACTGCATTCACATTATTTTCTTTAACGTTTTTTTTTTTTAAACTTCAGTTTAAAAAACAGTAGCCATTAAAATAATTTCCCAAATACAAATATGTTGTAATAAACGCGCATTATCCTAATTGCTTCATGGCAATATAGACATTAGTTTAAAAATAGTTAAATGAATCTTGCAAACACTGAATTAAACTCTATACATAATATTATGTTAAAATACTGTATATTAAACAGGTTTGTACAAAATGGATCCAAACAGTTCAACTAAAATATTTGTTTCTCACAATTAAAAGTCAACATAACAACAATAATGTAATATATATATATATATATACACACAGATTTTATATCAACAAGATTCAAGAAAAACTGTGGTGTCTACTCCTTTGGGCTCATGTTTTCTCTGAATGTGCAGTCTCACATTTCTCCTGTTTATTGTAACACCACAATGTGGAATTATTACATTTGTGGAGCACTGGTGGCTGTAAAGCTGGAAGCAGAAGAAGAGAGGTTCATGTTGTTGGAGGGGCAGATGTTCAAGTGTGGAATTACCTGGTCTTTCCGGATAACTGTCTGAGAACAATACAGACAGTGGAAGTGTGCAGCTGACCACTTATCAATAACTCATAGAGTTTTAGTAGTTGTACATAGTTATGGTGTAAAACAAACCGTCCTTGAGGTAGCACTAGCTAACATTAAATGGTAGCCTAAAAAACTACTACCTTATCATGCAACAACCCAATAAAACTAGATCATCACATCAAATATCTTAAATATTTCATCCAGCAGGGTCAACAAAATAATATCGTTAGGCCTATGAACATAAAATTATGTATTTTTGACTAACCAACATTATTTGTCTTCCTATTTCGTATAGACAGTAAAGTTTCGTTTCCACCTGAGAAAGCTGCTAGTCGTATGACCTAATCAAAATGGCCGACATGGATGTGGGAGGAGTTGGACATCCAGTTCCTACAGACTGCAGAAAGATGTACTTGTGTTAGCAGGGTGTTAGCGGGATGTTAGCGGGTTGTCTGTGGTTTGTTAGTGGGGTGTTAACGGGTTGTTAGCGGGGTGTTAG